CCCCAGCGCCGGCGCCGCTCGCTGAGACAGCCCGTTCTCTTGCGGACAGCCCCTTCCCTCCGTGGGCTCACCAGTCCGTGCTGGTACAGGCCCAGTCGCACCAGCGGGGAGCGGCAGACCACGGCCCGGGCTGCGCCAGCCCTGTCACGACAGCGCAAATCCCGGTCCGCACCCAGGGGCCAAACCAGCCCACGGCGACAACGGACCGGCCAGAATAACGCTCTGAGATCTCGTTATTTAAATAACAAGGACTTAAAAATCCGGATTTTAATACAAGTTAAATAAAATACAGGGTAAATTTTTGCCTGTCTACATACAGCTTGCTTAGAAATTCGCTACGCTGTACAGCACGAACAGTGACACCTGATTGGGAGTGCCCGATCTGCACCTTTAAAAGAATAGATTGTATAAAATACTGTGGTATTAAAAAAAAGCCAGTATACTGTACAAAAGAAACATTTTTACAGTAATTTGATATCTAAAAAACAGATGAGCTGCATCTGAAATTCATGGTAAATTGTCTTCTCTCAAGAGGAACTGACGGATAAATTGCTGAGCTTTCCTCTTCTCGGTTATGTCAGGTGTAGGATGGCCAGGAGGAGGTCGAAGCAGCAAGCCACCAAATATACTAGCTGCATTAAAAAAAACAAAACAAACCAAAACCAAAGTCACACAGGCACACAGTAAGAGCCGGTCAGCAGCAGAGTGCCACGGGCAACTGCGCCAAGCCCAAGCAGTCAGAGCCAGAGCCCGGCTTCAGAAAAAGGGGAAATGCAGCTGACGACCCCCTGCATCTCGGAGTCACGTCACAGCTTTTTTCAGGCTACGGCAATGACTGCTTTTCTGCAAGCTGTTTGCTCATCAGCAAATGCTGCAAAACAGGAGAGGCCACGACTGCACTCTCTTTGCAGGAACGTGTTTTGTTATAGAAACTGCAAAGCCCCTCTGAACAGAACAGTCATTTTGCTTGCCTTACCAAGAATATTCACATCCAAATGGTTTTTCCCTGAATTTTTCAGTAGCTCCCGTAGAAATGCCATGAGATATTCAAATACATTTTTATGGCACCTTGGCAGGTTAGAGATAATCTGAGGAGGGGGGAAAAAAACAATATTTATTTTGAAGATATAGCAACGCTTAGCAGCTTTATCTATTAGCAACTTCACCCTGTCTGCAAATACTGACAGCTCTTAAAAACCTAGAATCAGCAGTTCTAGATCCTTTCTATCATCAGATGATTAAGTTTCTGAGAGCAAAAACCTGTTACTGGTCTGGCATTAACCAGTTTGCCTCCCCTTCCTCCAGAATTACAGAAAGTCCCGCAGCAAAGCCGGCGGTACCTGGCTGCTCAGCGGGTAGTTGCTGGCACACTCCAAACAGCTGCTGTAGAACCTGTAGCAGATGACGGGCTCTGGCAGGCTCTCCAGGAAGAGCAGCAGGGCTTCTGCTACCGAGTGGTTGCTGCCAACTGATCCAAAGACAGTTAAGGAAGAGGCGAGCACGGTGTGATCTATTTTGGTAGTACTGCTGATGAAACATTTATCTTTGCTTAGGTCTCCAAGAACTCCTCCTATTGTTCACAGCTTTGAGTCCAACCCCTTGACTGCACGTAGCACGCTGTTTCCGATGGCAATCAGACACTACGTCGTTCACCAACAATAATTCATCGACATTGCAAGGACCTAGTGGGGGCATTTGCACCGAGAACAAGGAGCAGCGAGGAACTGCGCATCTCGGTTACCCAAAGATGAGAGATGGTAATTTAAAAACCATAGTGGAGCATAGAAGACTGATAAAATCTTTTTCAGCTTTGATCACTAAGGCACAGTGAGCCTTACTGGACATCAGACTAAAAGGATACAGAGGGTATCATGCATTCCTTTGTCCAAACAGTCTCGGATTTGCTCAAATTCTGATCTGAGGCCTGGCTGCTGAAACAAGTCCTCCTGCAAAGAAGAACATTAGTCAGGCTCAAGGAAAACAAAAGTTATTTGGGTAAATAGAGCAATGTCGTTATGATCTGGCTGGAAAAATGTCTCCAAATTGGTAGTTACCAGCACAAAACCCACCACGGCAGTTCTAGTAAGGCAGTAGAGAGCCACACAGAAGAGCTGCTGACGCATGACACACATAGACAACGTCCCCATCACGAAACAGTTCAAGCCAGGGTACCAGGACCACTTATGACAGATGTCCTTTACCTCTCTTTACCATTGGCCAAACATCCACAGTTAGCAATGATTTCCATTACCAGTATCTTCTTCAAAACTAAACCTAATGCAAAGAAATTATTTTGTGTTTCCAGTACAAACAGTGCCAACCTGCTGGGAAGCATTGCGGTACAAGTGATCCACCATCATCCACAGCTCTTTTGGAATGTCCAGAGGCTTTTCAGCTTGAACAGCATCATCATCCACATCTAGTGGCATCAGGGTCTGAGAGAGGGAGATGTGGGGAGGGGAAAGGAAAAAAAAAAAAGTAGCTAGCTAAGTTCTTATTCAACTTTGCAAAAATGCTTCATGGAGCTTATACCTGAGAACTGAGACACTGTGCAGCTTTGCTCACCAGTCTCCATACAAGACTAGTACAACAGGCACGTCTATTTCTGAAGTCCACACGGAAGAAACAAGCTGCTCTCATACGTACACTCAGCTCTACGGAAATGTTACATCAAGCCTCACATATACACACACCCCTCTGTTCAACACGGAGAAAGCTAAAGGCCCCAGAGGAAAGGTCTACACTTAGAAATTGCACACCTTTATAAATGTGCAGGCAGAGCAAACAGGGTCTCACTTTCGGTGCTCCCTATGTGAAATGGGTTGGTCCATCCCCGTGGAGGACTAACGCGAGGTGTGAAGGAGGCACACTAGAGAGCACAAGCTGTGTCAGCATCCTCAGACTATGGACCAGGGAAGCGCAAGACGGCTCTTTAGCAGTAAATAGGACTTAATACCTAGTTTTAATGGTTCTTATGGCTTTGGAAGGGAATCTTGTCTTTAACTCACAAGTTTCCAAATGGATTCTGGTGACATGTCCTGGATCGGTTCCCTCATGTAACACAGCGTATGAATGGGAGACCCAAAGCAACTTGGCAAGTAGTTGCCTGTTACAGATAGAAAATAATCCTTCCCCCTCTTAAGATGCAAGACCAAGATATCTTCTAGTTTCTCCTCTCCAGAGTTTAAGCATGTAGCTGTTGATTTATTAACAAACACCTCCAGCTCAACTGTGATCTCAGCATCTGCCAAAAGATGATTAAAAAAAACCATACTCAGTTAAAAAAGAAGATATTAAACCAGGAAGTCTGCAAATAGGCACAGCATTCTCAAACCAGCGGAGAGAAGCAAGCCAGAAGATGACAATATTAGCCCATGAACATGAAATGAGCAATGAGGAGCTCACCTGAGAGCAGAAAGCCCTTACTGGGATTAGCAATCAACCACTTCTTACAGTAGGTTTCCTCATCAGGTTTGCTGATGAATTCGAACTGGCAGGGCACTTGTCCATTGCGGATCGTAAACTTCTCCACCTGCAGCTGCATGTATTTAACAGCCTCGAAATGGAACTAGAAACAAACGTCAGTCAGCACCATCAGCCAGCTCCACCTGGCCAAGCACCAGAGCAATTCCTGTCCTGCAGTTTAATCATTAAGCAGCAAAATACCCAGATTAACCTTCTTGCTCCCACATCCCATCTCTTCCAGGATTACACCGGATTACATTTGCTTACTCTGTGTGCCGAAGTTCTTTGCATCGGTGGGCCCTTTAAAACAAATGTTCTCCTCAAATAACCTTGATGAAACTTGAGAACAAGATAGCCGTAGCCTCAAATGTTTTCTTATCTTTTTTAGTCCCCAACACACAAAGAAAACGCCAGCTTTGTGACCTTCTCCAAATCCTTCAGATCTTACATTTTATGTTTCAAATAAGTCAGATCAAGGGCCACAAACTGCCCTTTTACTCTCTCCCCACCTCAGGGAGTAACAGCCTGGTACTGTGAATGGAACTTACCTGCATCTAAGCAGAAGCAAATATTTCTAGGTCTTGTAAAGAGAAAACGGTTGCAAGTCAAAATATGCTACTTCTTTGGAACTAGACCCTGGGGTCTAGAATCCATCTAATTTACATCTACCTCTGGAGTATACTTCTGGGGTCTAGAGCTGCTCAGTTTCTCCAGCGAGTCCCAGCACATGAACATAGCCTACCTCTCTTTGGGAGAGGGTCACAGAGGGAATGTTGGCATTCTCCAGCTTGTCCAGGGAGCGCACTATTTCCTCAAAGGCTTTCCGATAGAGCTCTTCATTCACAACCTTCACCTGAAAAGGACACACACTGCACCAGCTGGCATTTACTGCGCCTCTGCTGGAGAGCTGTAACACAGCTGGATGCATATGAAGTGCTTTGATTTTAGCAGCACACTAGCGTATACAACGCGTGTAATGAGCAGAGCAACTTGGAGCACTAAGGCTACAAGATGTCCTCAGGATCCCACAGTAAAGAACCTTGCCATAACTAGCAAGAGAGTCACCCAGTCAGTACTAGATCAGCCTTTTTTTTCCCCTAAAAAAAAAAGAAAAAGTTTGACAACACACGACTGCATTGTCAATGATGTAGCATTCCAGCACTGCAGGTTTCTGTGAAAATTGTTAGGAAAGTAAGAAAAAAGGCAAAAGAACACTTCTGAAATAACACCTACAGATAGATAATCACGCATTATTCTGCTTAACTGAAGCATCACTTAACACAACTCTAGCTAGCTTACAATTGTGAGCAACAATCCTATCTTATCTAGCCCACCTTTTAAGCCATTGTTCTCTGTAGATTCCACAAAAGCAGGAGAAAGAAATCCCTTCTCCCTTCCCACACAGAGGACAAGGTCAGTAGAGTTATTTCCTTCAGTGCTGACGTACTTACCCCGACATCAAACACAGAGCTAACTGGCTTATGGTCACTGATCTTCAGAGCCATATGGCTGCGATAGCTCAGCTGAGCAACGTTCTGCCCTTTCCAGAGTATCCGATCACACCACGCTGGAACACGACACTTCTCGCTAAAAAAGAGGTAAAAATTACAGTCTCCAGGCATAGCTCAGGTGGAGTAACAATGCAAGGCAGAGCACTGCTTTCCCAAAGACTCGGTGTTTTCCTGACATGGCCTAGTTCTTTATCAAAGTTGTATTTTCCTCATTTTCTTTGAGTAATTATAAAAAGTTTGATTGTCTACTATTAGGTATCTCTATATCGTGCTTCACTTTCTACTTCAAAGATGCAATTCTTTGTTTTGTTCTTTTGATACAATTAACATACAAGGCAATACTCAAAGATGCTTTTGACCATAAGAACCATGAAAAGTAAGAACTCAGGCTCTACATTTAAAGTTCACTTTTTTTTTTTTCACTGACTTCTGCACAGATTCTATTCCTACACTTGAAGCCAATGTTTACTAAGAACAGGTCAGCCGCTCTGTGCTCCTGCATTCGCGGAACGATGGTTCTCAGAGTCCTCTGGAGAATGCACTCAGCTACAGAGAGCACAAATGCACCATTCTGAACCCTAGCTGACACCAGTGGGTATAGCAGATACTGGGAAATAAAAGATCCTAAACATTTTGCTTGGAGGAAAAAAACAAACAAACCAAACCGAAACAATGAAACTAACTAAAATGATTCCTTAATTTTTTCCATCTCTAAAAGGAGACCAAATGGATTATTCCTGAGGAAAAAGATTAGGAATATCTGACAAATACCAGTGGGAAAAAAAGCAACACAAATAGATGTAAACTGGAGATGGATACTGGAGCCATTGGAGGGGAACAACAATCATCTCAGAACTGCTCCTATTTACAGCCATTAGGTCAGCAATTCTTTTTAGCTTTGTTTTTACTTCCTTCGGCGATAACATTAGCCATCAGTAGCATCACGTATGAGGCAATCACCGTACCTTGTGTCCCAGTCATCACAGCCAGCATCATATTTGTATGTTGGCTGGAAAGAAATCTCTCCCTCTGTAAAGCCTTCAAAGACTGCATTTGCATTCATTTGCCTCTTTAGCTACAGAAGAAAAAAAGACAATTTAATTTTAAATAAGCTCAAGCACAACTTGTATATGAGCTAAAAGGGAGACGTTCAGCACTGGGAAGGCTAAGGAGTACATATGCGTGGGGTTTCTAACTAGCACCCTCAGGACCACCTGAAGGTAGGTGAGACATCAGTACCTGGTCATACTGGCCAAGCTCTGGAAATGCTTTCTCGTCTACAAGCTGCTTCACTTTGGCCACATCCAGTTCCTCCAGCCGATAGTTGAGGTCACCCAACCATAAGATCACACTGAAAGAGAGCACACACCAGAAGTCTGCACAGAGGCCTGAAGATGCCTGGAACACAAGCTGGCCGGGAGCTGGACGCACAGCTCCGCAGCAGTGCCGTGAACCATCTAATGCAACACCAGCTCTTCTCATCTCAGCACCATCGGATGGATGCTTGTCTGCTTCTCCATCAGAGAGTGCAAATAAGAGTGAAAACTTGAAAGCGAAGCTACACTTTCTACCTTTGCTGGTGTTAATTCCTGTTCTGCATGTTTGTCACTACCTCTTCATAACTGGTGCTTTTAATATTCCCCACTGGCTAAACTGCACAACTCACTGGGGAAATCGATGCATGTTATTGCCCCATTCCCACCTCACGCTTGAAAATAAAACAATGCCTGGAAGAGCAGGAGAAGGCGAGTGACTCGTCAGAACCATACAGGCGACCACTCTCAAAACCAGGTTACAGAAAAGCCTTTCTGGCCCTTCCAGGCTGACGATTAGATCACTGCGCACCCCTTGCCACATCCCCGCCGAGGGAACCTCGCGCCCCAGCAGGTTCACAAGGTTCTTCCTTGCCACGTGCAGCGATTCACACAATCGGACAAGAAGCATACTCGTGTTTGCCAATAGTGAGAGGGGGCAAATTTGGATCCGACTGGCAGAACTGCATCCGAGAGCAGATGTCTTTGAAGTCCTGGTTCCTCCGCTCGTATTCCTCCGTGTGAGCTGCAAGGTGAGAATTCACAACGCACACGCTAGTGTTGTGGAACTTAAACCTTATGGCAACACCTCCTTTGTTACCCTGAAAGATAAAGACAAAGACGTTGGTCAGAAGCTTCTACACAACAGATGAATCCACAAATGAGTTATAGCAGTGGACAAGTCAGAAGACATCGAGGCAGATCGTTTAATTCCAGAGGAATGAAATGGCTGAAAACGCCAATTAGTGATAACTACTTCGTGAATTCAAGTCAGTAACTCATGTGAGGGTTGCACACAGCAACAGAACACAGCAAGCAAGCACATGAAACTCAATTTGTAATTCAGGAATTAGCTAATGAAAAAGGAAATTAAAATTGGTAAGGGAGATAGTCAGTCACTTCAGCAAGTCCCACAACCTATTTAGCAACAAACTGGATCTTTCAATACAAACCATAAAAAAAATGGTAAGTGGAGAAGGAAGCACAGGGCTTAGCTGTTCAAAATTACCTTTGACAAATTGTAGCTGCACTGTTCACAGAAGCTACATTCAAAGGGCACAAACTTCATTCCAATGGTGTGGAATGGCAAAAGGCCGGGAAGTCTTCCTCGAATAAACTAATCTGGATGTTTCTTCTACTCATGTTTCCTTGTGTTACTTGCTTTGGGCTAAATCACAGCCAGCACCAAAATCACAGAGAGCAAGGCTCCACACAGCCCAGCACGTGCGATCAGAAAAAAAGCCTTCAAGAAATTCTCCCTTAAGGTCTCTGAGAGCACACGGCAATTCCCTCCAGCAACGCCCTGACCTGGCACCGGGACAGGACTGTGTGTTTCTAAAGGCAGCTGCATCCCTTAGCTGGAGGAATAACCACTACACCTAAGGAGAGGGGCTCTCCAGGACTCTTCTAAATCTCACCCCTTCTCATGCACAGTTGCCATTCTTACCATCCTGCCCATGATTCCAGTTCCCACAGTCTCAATTTCCACCTCGGAGATGTTCAAAGCAAGATCTGCTTTCACGTACAACAGAAGCATGATTCCCACAAGCCGCACAAGTTTCACCTGAAAAACAGATCCTGTTCCATTAAATACAAGAATGGGAGAGGTTTGACGAGAGAAGGCACATCGCCCCCCGGTCCAGAACATGGGTCACCAAAATACGGATGAAGAAAAAGAGTTCCAGGCTCATCCAACAGACCAACTGGGCTCACAGTACACAGGCACTCCAGCAGCACAGCACACGAAGGAGTCATGGACCAACACCCCAGTAAACGAAGCTGAAGCCCAAAGCAAAACCTACAGCACAGGCACAGCCCATGGAAAAGCTTCTCTTCAACAACAGTGAGAAGAAACAAAGCAGGCCTACGGAGCAGGAGCCAAAACACAGGCAGTATTCCTACCAAGATACCTTCACAACTCATTCCACCATGTGTTGTGGAGACAGACACCGAAGAACCTAAGATAGCTCCTGTTCTCTTCCCCCAAGATAGCAGGAGCATCCTTTATGCACAGATGCCCAGCTCTGGTCTCCTGGCCTGCCCTCTGCCTTGGCACCCTGCACAGCCACACTACCTACTTCACCTTCAGAGCACTTCTGACTGAGCACAAGCTTGCAGACAATGAGCCTCTGGAAGACACAGCAATTGGAAAAGCAAAGTGGAAGAAAAGGCCCAAGTGGAAAAAGATTCCACACTGAAACCTCCCCAAAAGCACATTTACCTTTGCATATTTGGCATCTGGGTGCAGACTATCAGTTACAGCTTTAAACCATTCTTCTTCCTTCGGTGTGTCATTGAAAAAGAAGGCTTCTTTACTCAGATCGAGCTCCTGGAAACTGTGTTAGAGGAAGGAACCCATGGATGCATGCACTTGTTTGTAACTCTCCAGCTCTTTCCTCTGGGAAAGAACTAAATCAATTTATACTCACTAAATTTACAACTGAAAACTCAAATTCAGTTACGCTGATTTTAGAGGTATGTTAAACGTAACGCTAAATTACTTTTGGTGTTAAATTGAATGGCATTAAAGATTTCATAAAACTGCAGTGCCAGAGAGTCCAAACACTACCCGAAAAACAGCCCTCTCGGGCTCTGCAACCACACTGTGCGATGGAGTACGGCAACGCAAACATTCCTCGCTGCGGCGTCCCGGCTGCGCTCCTCCACGCTACGGATCCACGGGCCAGCAACCCCCGGCCAGCGCCGGAGGACGAGACAGAAGAGACACTCACCCCACGCAGTAAACGTCGGGAGGCTCAGCATCACACCTCAGCCACGGCTGGAGGCTTTCCCTGGGTGACTGACCGTTCACATTATACGTCCCAACAAAAAACCTGCAAAGAAGTTAACTAAATCCCAGAGTGCAAATTGCAGAGCTGATGGAAATACCACTACTATTAACCCATGTACTTAATACTACATATATTTAGGATTAACATGTTTCCAGGGGGGAACTGGGAAAACGTGACAAAGTTTAAATCTCTAAAATTATTTAATTGCAGTAGCATCTTTACAGGTGTGTCTTACAGAGGACAGACATTTTTACATATAGTGAAAAAAAATACCAGAGCTGTGCAGTAGCAGTTTGAAATGATAAATTCGTTGAATGACATGCAGAAGGAGATTTTAACCATAGTAAAGTTTTTGGTCTTAATTATATATTTCACCCTTATATATTTCACCCAAGCTCTTATGAGCTTATTGGAACAAGTACATGGATAAGCAGTGAACAGAAGCAGTGAGAGATAAGGCCAGAGATGCACAGAATTGATGCACTTCCAGACACAGTCTGAAATAAGCACAGGAAAAAGTTCTTTCAAAGAGGCCATTTTCTCAAAAAGAACCATGAGGCAAGCCTTGACAGAGACATGAATTAAATTCTTCTCTGCTAATGCCCAAACAAGGAAAGAAGGCTGTTCTGGAAAGTATGGATCATACTTTTCTATAAAATTTCCTATTTGCAGGGATACTAGATGAAATAACAAACATGATTTATTTTGAAATCTTATGCTAACTAACTTACTCGCCCCCAAAATAAGTTCTTCTCAGGAATGATCATTACCTGAAGCTCTCTATGCGTGTGTAGGAATCCTCCATTTGTGCAAGCTGAGATTTAACAATAGTATCTCTTAGTCCAAACTTTGGTTCTGATAAGATGGAAGCCTTGTTTGAAACCATTACGCTGGAGGACCGTACCATTTCAGTTGTCACTTCAGGTTTGATTTTGTTTTGCCTGCAAACGAAAGCAAAACTGCGTGATGAAATCCAGGATACAAACACACCCAAACCAGCTATTTCTGCCACCGCGTTCACCCGTTTCACTAAAGATAATCAACATCTGAGATAAGCAAGCAAGACTGAAATGAGCATTTCTTAGAATGGTTCAGATCTCTAGATAAAACCAGTTTAACTAACTGAAATAACAAACTGTTTTCACTAACCTGGTGCAGCCTGTTGATTCAGGACAGGCCTTGTATCAACATCCAGATGTGAATAAAACCTGTACACATTTCCTGCTTACTGGAGCAACAAGATGTAAATCTCATCTCCTCCTGCCTGTGCTCAGCCCTTCTGATCTCAGCAGAAGAATGACAAACCGTGTTTGTTTAAAAAGCCTTCTGGTGGAAAATCCCAGCTCTGCCTCAAAAGGAGGCAGCAAAGAGTGGGTGGAGGTAGAGGAGGTTTTATTTAGTATCTCCTGGCTCTGCAAACTCCTTTTGCAACAGTAATAATGCCACAGCTTGGGAGTTCCCACAAGCAAGTGGATGGTATAAGTTTAAGGTCAACAACCTGCACACCAGTGCCAAGGACAGCACACAGACAGACTTTGAAGGATATGCAGCAGGGTCCGCAAAGTCCTGGGAACTGGAAAATCAAACTGCAACATTTTAAGAGTGTATCTGTGAGACATGGTGGCCCTAAGCCAAAGTTCTCTGAATTCAAAATAAACAACACTAGCAGGTCCCATCCCACTAAACAGCAAAAACATGCCCAAACAGGGGACTAGCAGGACTGTCTCTGAGAGACAGTGCTGAAGCTCCCGCTAAAGTTTTGACAGCATGCTTATGCTGAACTTTTTTCTCTCCTAACTACCATCTGCAGATTCTCTTCTCAAAAATTTGCCAACTTCTGCTCCAGATCCCACCACCTCTGGGGACTGCAGCCGACACAGTCGCTGGCAGATGGAACCAGATATTGCGGCTGCAAGACTGCTCGAGACCGGTGTGTGCACAGACCTCACACGCTGGCACCGGAGAGATCAACTTCCCCACTCGGTTTCCAGCTGGAAACCAGGAAGCCCAGATAGAAAGCTCTCCGCACTTTCCTTTTCTTCCTCTAGACATCAAAGCATCGACAACTTCCCCACGGCAGTTCATTCCATCCACACACAATCACCCAGAAGTACCCAGAACCTTGGTGCTGTACATATTTAGTGTCACTGTACAGATATCCTCCGTGGAGAGGAGGCACAGCTAAACCAGTAAAAAACCACTGCCACCACTTTTCCTCCTCACCAGACCTTGCACAAAGAGCGGACGTGCACAACTCTCCCTTCAACTGCTTCACCAAACCTACAAAAGCAGGAGGGAGATACCATACCTGGGAGCACTTTTATCGGTGCTGTCATGGCTCCGGTTCTGATTAACTGTAACCTTTTTTCCATTCTGTTTGACGCCTTCAGAGTCAACCACTTCTGGGGGAGAGAAAAAAAAAAAAAGTTTCACATTAAACACAAAGTGTTCTTTAATTTATCAACACAGCAAACACTGGCAAAGATCTGAGAGCAGAACATAATTTAGGTTTGTGTGGAGAAACAAAGTATCCTGCAGTTTCTCTTTCAGCTATCTGATAGATGGAGCTTATTTTGACAGAACTGTTCTGTGATGATGCAGCTTCCTCTCTAGAGGAAGAACTGACATCAGGATGCCGTGCGGCCACGGAGAGCGGCGGAAGTGCTGCACGCTGCCTGCCCGCTGCTGAAGCAGGTTGCTGTTGGCTCTCCCTTCCAGCTAAGCTAAACCAGGACTTAGCAGCACAAAACCCAGGGCTTTATCCTGGGAATCCAAAGAATGTACGTTAATAACATGTTTTTCCTTTCTGAAGCAAGACAGGAAGTACAAAGAAAGGAAGAAAAAGGGAAGAAAAAACAAAACAAGCTCCAGACTACCACTTAAAGGGTATCTGCACCTATCTGCAAATACATAGCAAACCACAAGTGTCTCCCACCTTGAGGCAGTGCAGTACAGAACCATCGTACCTCAGCAGAAACAAGGCCCTCAATGCAAATGGTACGTTCCTAAAAATATAACAGGGAAGCTACCATGCAAATATAACTAAATATAGATGTGACACTAAACACATCACACTACATTAGCAAGATTTGACTATTCTTTCAGCGTTTTGTTTCAATCAGGACATTCTGTTCCTGCAAGTGGCATAATAATAGTTTAAAAAGAGGATTCTGCATGGGGGTTTCCATGTTTAAGATGCACAAACAGCCATCTCAAGATTATGCTACTTAGCACAAAAATCTAATGATGATCTAGAAATAATTAAGATTATTACATTTTAGTCATTCAGCTGAGCTTCTCCTTCAGCGAACACCACCCAGAAAAACTAAAGTGTTATTTATGTCACAGTGTGTTCTCCAGGACAAGAGCACAAATCAGAAACAGAACTTGAAGTGCTTCACCTAAGCACTCACAACCTAAACAAGTGGACAAGAAGTGGTCATATTCTCAGCTGGGAAAGCCTCTTCTGCCCAAGAGCCCTCTGAGAATAAAGACTGTGTAAGAGGATTTATCAGAAGCTGGTTGCAGAAGAGCACGTGACTCAAACCTCACTACAGATCACGCAGCCGAAGTCACGCAGCCCTGAACAGGAGCGTACACAGCGCAGAGACGCGCCGTGCCGCGCGGTCCCGCTGCGCGGGGACAGAGACATCCATCTTCTCCACAGGTATCACCCATTTAACCAGTGCTGCTCGAGCCTCTGCAGGCTCTCCCATAAAGACCACGCAATGTATCTTGACAGCGACGAGAACCAACCTGAACTTTCACTCTGACAAACAAGTGTTACTTTTGTACCAGGGAGGGAGCAGAAGTTCAGGCTTTATTACCCCTCAAGGACGATGCCGCTCACCAGCGTGCAGAAGGCGGCTGTGCTGGAGCGGCACGGCTTGTGTGCCCGCTCAGTGCTGGCACGGCTGCTACGCGATCCAAAGATCACAGCTGTATAACGCACTTCTGCAGTCTAACCTTATTAGTGGAAATCAGCTTCAGGTAGGATTCTCCTAACAGAGAGATTAGCACTGGGAAAGGGCTGTTTCCTTCAGATAAATTTATATCTAGATAGAGATTGCTCTAGCCAGAGGGATCTATACGTTGTGGCATATTTTAGCAAGAGAATGACCTTGTTCAGTAATTGAACTGGGCACAGAAATAAAGAGCCATGTGCAGAGATTACACAACAGCAGAACATGCATGGTCTGAATCAGACAGGATTTGCAGTTAAAAGAGATTTAAGCAGTAATAAAGACGCTCTTGTTAAAAACGTGCAGTGACATTATAGTACCATTCTACAGCAGGAAAATGTACCATACCTTCTGGATAAACTAGGAGAGATGCTTAGTGTTCAAAAGAGAGAATTAAATCAGCCTTACTATCAGTTACATGAGTCTTAGGCAGTTCACTCTTTACTTACTGAAAGTGTAAGCGAGTCCGTGCGGGACCGCACTACTCCGGGCTGGAGGGAAGCAAGCTGCTTCTTTTCCGGGTTCCAAATGAAGGAACACTGCAGTCGTCACCGTGACTGCACACAGATGGGATGTTAGGCAGGGGTTTTAACCAAAATTGTGAACATAAACCATACAAGGTAAAGCACGTTTAAAGCACATTTAAATCCCTTTATAGACACTCTCAATCATTAGCCAGCCCTAATTCACTGAAGATATAACGAACATCACGCTACTAGCAAATGGTGGCGTTGACACAGTGTTTGAACGGGCTTTGATTTGCGTATGAAAGTTGCTAACTCAGTATGCGTGTTCATTGAAGGACAGGAGTTACAGCTGTTCCTGGGACACAGCAGACAAAACCTCATTCTATATCAATTTATGTTCCAAAAGATCCTAAGTGATAGCAGAGAGCAGTTTCTGCTGCTAATACAAGGAAGGGGGATGTTAGGGTGAAAGGAAAAAAGAGAGATCCCTAGACTCCTTTGACTCAAGAAAAACACAATCAAGCCTTGAAAAGGCAACTTTGTCAAAGCTTATCGGCATGATTTGCTGGAACTGCTTCCCAAGGAGCTTGCCATTCAAAGAGTGCCCAGATACAAAAAAAACACACCAGCAAAGGAGCTCGAGTCGTGCCTCA